ACAGAATTTGAAGGCCAACTTTAAAATCAACTTTAGAAAATAAAGTTTGTGTCTAAAAATCCTCAAATTGATCATCTCAACTTGACAATTATCAATATTTTAAAAAACATTTACTTATAAAAATAGTGTATCAAGTATAAAAAAAATAGTGTATCTTCTAGTGCATTATACATATTGTCTATTCTAAAGTCTTTACAAATTTGCTAATTTTATATCATTTTTAAAACTTCAAATTTGATATAGAGATAGAATATCAAATCAATTGGGGTTTCTAATATCAAAAGTGTATCAGTGTTCGCATTTTGAGATATGGCTTTTTACCTTTCTATAAAGTAAAAGCTTTTTATATACCTCTAGGCATAGGACATGCATATATGGTACTCTCTCCCAACCTTATGGTCTGATTGAATGATCGGGATTGTTGGGTTTGGTGATAGCTAAATCTTCATACTTATATTCTCTTTTAAAGATTAAGGCATTATGGAAAATAAAAAACTAATTTTTTTGAGAAACAAGAAAGTGATATCTTTATAAGAGAGTGAAAAAGAACATAATACCTATCCTTTGAGGGTTACCCCTTTCAGGGTTATGGGAATAAATCTCCAATTTGGAGATGGGTCTCCAAGAGAGAGAGACATGACCTCTGAAAGAAGGGCAGTATGCACACGAGTTTTGAATTGGTTAACTTCCACTTCTAGAGAGAGAAAATCTCTATGTTGCTCTCGAAGTTATCTTTCCAGTAGCAGTATTACGGTGGGAAAGAGGATATTGATCGACGGTGTGACTCGATCTGGAGAGTGGGTTTAGAAGGAAAGATTGGTGATAGTCTTTTACTGATGTTTAGAGATATGTATTATTTCTTGTAACCTAAAACTGTAATCTTCATTGTGATGGTAGATTTCTAGTTGCCGAGGCCATGGATGTAGCCCTGCGGGGTGAATTACGTAAATCGTATGTTATTGTATTGTGTTTTTTATGTTTGTTTTATTTCTCGCACTCGATTTATAGTTGAATTCATCTACTTCACATTAGTCAATCATGTATACGATCTTGGGTGAGATCCCGGTGTTTGGGATTTCAAGTTCCGCAAGCTAGGGGTTCACGAGAACCTTACGGGGATAGCTTCAGGCATAATATAACTAGTGAACAACTGACATTTCATCTAGATCAAACGTCTCAAAATACTTTACTTTCAAATTGTTTTTTTTTTCAAATCACAAGAACATGAAATTTGGTGAATGGCATCATCTAAATGGAGTGCACTTAAAAATATTTTAAAATTATTTTGGTTATTTTATTGTATCATAAATATCTTTTTTCGTATCTTTAAAATGTACGACTTTATGAGAAGATGGGATACCCCAAATTAGGTGTAAATATGATTCATAAAAAAAATAAAAACAAAATTATATTTACAAATTATATTGTGATTAGAGCCATCTCAACCGTCTTATCTGTCCATTCAGATCAAACGGCTTACTAAAAAAAACTTTCCATAAATACCCTCTATCGACAAAATTTGCTACAAATCACACTCACGCGTGGCATACAGCAGTTAACACGTTCCACTGCTGTGCAGTACAAATTTCGGCCGAAATGGAGCCGAAATCTCGTGAAAGTTAGAGCTCGAGGCCTAGGGATTGGTCAAACGGTGAAATTCATTCATATTCACACACCTTCTGTTTCCTTTATCTTTTGGTGGTGAAAAAGGGCGTCATCCATGGGTCAAAGAAGAGGAAGAAAATTAAAGTTTTGGTGGTCCCACACAGTGGAAGAAGCGGTGCGATTTCATAATTAGGGGAACCCAACACCATCATTTGCACGTGTCTACAGACCGTGTGTTACGAAATCGAACCCTAAAAAACGCAACAAAAACAAACAGTTGCTTTAAACCTTGTAAGTGAGGGCCTATAGCATGCTCCGATAGGATCATACTGTAAGAATGTTCTTTCAGATGAAAATGCTTATTAGCCTGTTTTTTTAGATTTGGGTGTGGTTTTCCAATTAAGGCGTACCTCCAAATTTTATCATAACATGTAATTTTGGTATAAAATTTTTTTAAGATTATTTGAAAATTTATTTTCATCACTAATTATAAATTTTTAAACTTGAAAATCCAATAAATTTATAACCATATGAAAATCTTGAAAATGGATATTCTAGATAATGTGTTGCAATATGTACTATTTTTAGGATTCAAAATTTTTTTTCTTTTTCTTTTTTTCATATTAATACATCTTGACGTCGAGATAATAAATTAGAAAGCTTTTCAAGATTCAAACAACCTTTTTCTACAGTTTAACGTCGGAACGTTATATAACCTTTTCCCTTTAGATTTTGGATTTTGGGATCCACCTAATAAACACTAGATTGTTGTTTTAAAAAAAAACTAAGAATAGAGTTCCACTTCATCCAAAACTGAGATAGCCTCTGTTCAATATTAATATTTTTAGGCATGTGCAAGATGCCTTTCAATTTTTTTCTATTTTTTATTTTTTGGGTAGAAATAAAAAAATATTGGGTAGACTTTGAATTTTGTTCATGAGAATGAAAAAGTCGAAATAGTGAACTTGCACCCCAACAGAGAGGGGAAAAAGATGATGAAAGAGGCAATGCATGCGTGCATTCGTGCGTAGGAGTCACATTCACACACTTTTACTTTTTATTTTTCCCTTTTCCCTCTGCTTTTTCCTTGGAAATTGAATGCTCAAACCGGGTAATTCAAAGCTGCTTTCTTTCCAAATAAAAAAGATATATATTGAGTAAAAGGAAGGGAATGGAATTCCCCTCTTCCCATTTGTGCATGAAATTTGGTGGTCATGGGGTATGATAGCTAGGATGCCCAAATGTCATATCATGTAAGCAAAAGGGGGTGCAACTACTAGCTATTAAAGCCTTTAATGGATGACAGACCAAACTCAACTTTAATCAAGGAAGTGATGGCTCTAAAGCTCACTTG